CTGTTTGAGAGCAAAGATGGAGGTCCAGATGGGAGGAAAAGAGGGAAAGACAGAGGGTCTCTTCGGTATGGCGAGCGAGAAGATTCTGACAGCTTCTCTCTGCCCTTGACCCCAGATCTCGACCTTGATGCTGACTCTTCACCTATCTACGCCCGAGATTCAAACCCCTCCCCTCTCTACCCCGGAGACCGCCGCTCACCGCCGCTTAGTATCTTCCCCCGAAGCTCTCCGCCGACAAATATATTCGCTCCGCGAGAAAGTAACTCCCCTCCCAACAACCTCTATTCCCGCCATTCCCCGCAGGTGTACAGCCGGAGCAGCTCCCCTCCTCGCTTCTACACCCGCAACTCCCCCCCGACCCTCTCGTACCCAGACAGCAGCCCCGAAGGTCCAGAAGAAGTCAGCCCCACAGGTCAGCCTCAGCGGCCATCTCTGGAGCTGCCGTACAGCCTCGGGCGACCCCCGCTGGGCCCTCGGCCTAATCACCTCCAGACCTTCTACCAGCCACCACCGATGGCATCCAATGGAGAGGCAGGGTACACGCCAGAGCCCTCCTCTGAAGGAGATGATGGACAGATGCAGCGGGTGACGAGCCTGTGACTAGGGCGGTGGTGATTGGGGTATAGAAATCAGGGAGGAGGAGGAAGATGGTGATAATAACAACACGTATTGACGATCAAACTGATGGAAACGATTATGATTATGTTAATGAAAAGGTTAATGATGATGGATGATTAACAGTGATGCCTATGAAAGCGATGGCTCCTCCCTGCTTCTATCTCCCGATCACCACGAGACTTCCCCCCTTTCCATGTTTTGTTACTTTTGTATGACTGTGATCCATTGATAACTCTTCCTCCTATTCCCCTCTCTCTCTCCTCTCTTTCCCTAAACCCTGCTGTGTCTTCCCATCTCATCGGTGCTTATCCTTATTGGCCTGTCGTCTAAGTTTCTATTGCTTCATCGGCTGGGTGTTGCCCCTCCCTGTAGCAAGCAAGCAGTGTGTCAAAGAAGCACTTGTGTGTTGCCAAAAAATCTTTTCAAAGAACATGTGCATGACTTTATAGTGGCTTTACAAGGCTACATACTGTAGGAGGAAGTGCTGAAGTGTGCGTGACGTACGAGTGTGCGCGTAGCTTGATGAGCACGGGTGTGCGCAAGGGAGTGTTTGCGTGTATGTGTGTCTGAGAGAGGAAGCGAGAGAAAGGGTGTGTGTATATACATCATTCTTGTATAATTAATGTATCACAGTGAAGCATTTTATCTATACCAACTGGAGGGCCTCTTAAACACATCCCCTCCTATTGATTTTGAACTCTTGACCAATCCTATTTCACATCAAGACCAAAACCTCTGCGCCCCGACCTGCCACTGACTGTAGGTGATGGAACTTTTGACTGCAGAGCCAGAGATCATGTAAAACCTCAGAACTTTTCTGCAACTCCCCCCGAGATCCTTGTACATATCGCCTCAAGTGTTCTGATTGTCTTGTATTGCTATTGAAGTTCAAGTAAACGTGAAAAAAAAAGGTTCCTGTTTGTGTTTCTGTTCGTGCATGTGTAAATGTAAATATGTCAACTTGCAGATGAGTTAGAGCCGGCTATTACTGCAGCCAGAATGATTTTTTTTTTTTTAAATTACAGTTCAATCAGACCGCTGACTTATTACACCAACAGAACATTGTTAGAGTTTGTAGTCTAGGCTCTGAGCTCATCTAACCCAGCAGATATGGTACATATAGGAATTGGGGAATGATGAGTAAACATGCCCCCTGGAGTCTACAGGTGAATGCTGAGGTAGTGGAGAGGTCGACACAGCAGGAAGCAATTCCGTGCAGCCGCCTCATTGACAGATCAGAGGGAGAGATGGAAAATTCTGCAGCTTTAATAGACCAACAAGTTGGGAGGCTGTGCTTGGAATGTGATGTGAGGAGAGTGAGAAATGTTAGTGTCTAAGAAGCAATGTAGTCTAAGGTGTTTTAAATTAATATGTTATTTTATAGGGAAATATTGAACCTTAATGCATCGATCTTACATCTAATTGAGATATTACATACAAAGCATCAAATTCGAATGATAAGAGAGATTTTCCCAAAATAGACAGTAATGAAAATGAGCTCAAAGTCAATCCAGTTGCAAAATGTAAATGCTTTGGACACATCCATGCATTAATAATAGTGCAATGTCATTCTGTCAGGAACTATTTAGCCGCACAGTGATTGCTTTTAATTTTGATATTTTAAAGAAAAGTTGATAACACTTTTACATTTCCCTAAATAAGGTTTTGGATTCTCCCAAAGATGACGAGTATAAGAAGAGAAGTGTGATGAAATGAATTCAATACTAAATGAACTGCAGTTGCATGGGTCCCATTTGGTTCATCACAAAAACATATTGACAAAAAAGCAGTCCATATAATAAAATGTGAATGATGCT